GCAGATTTATTTATCCTTTCAGATTCTTCTGATCAAATGAAGACCCCCATCTACCCAGAGGGACAATCCAAGATTTTCATCATCCATGTGCCCCTGTTATCACAGTCAATTTGAGAACTATTTGATCTGTATTTTAGATATAAAACTGTGACTATAGAAAAGGAGGATAATGTTTTTGACACAGGGATTGCTGTGATATTCTTTAGAGTCTGGAGAATACTGGTTAAAATGATTTTTTTTTTGAGAGTACAAACCATTTCTTTTTGCATATGGAATAAAAACAGCTAGCTTCTTAAAAAGCCCTGCCTACAGAAAAGCTTGAAGTTAACCTTTACCAGTGATCCCAGATGACTCTAGTGGTAAAGAAGCTGCCTGCCAGTGTGGGAGATGCAGGAGTTGTGGATTCAATCCCTGGCTAGGGAAGATCCCCTGGAGGAGGCAATTGCAATCAACTCCAGTAGCATCAGAGAGACATTTTAAATCTGTCTGGATTTATGCATGTCTCAGTGTGTGTCTTTGATTTTGGATAATATTGCTGAGGTTTATTTGTAAATGAGCTCTTACTCAATTGGCTTTAAAAGAAAGTAAGCACTTGGCTTACCATTGGTGGCTTAGTGGTAAAGCATCCACCTGCCAGTGCAGAAGATGGGTTCGATCCCTGGTCTGGGAAGATTGCACATGCTGCAGAGCAACTAAGCCTGTGCAGCACCACCAATGAACCACCCATGCTCTAGCACTTGTGGTCCACAAGAGAAGTAACTACAATGAGAAGCTCATGCACCACAACTCGAGAGTAGTCCCCGCTCAACACAAGGAGAGAAAGATGGATCAGCGACGATGATCTGTTGAAGCCAAAAATAACAAATAAAAATTTTTTAAAAACAGTAAGTGCATACAAATCAGGTCACGTGAATTGAGAAATATTCAGTATTAAATATCTAGTATTAATGTTTGCTCATCTAATTAAGACATGTCTTCAGTCATCTATATTGTGTAATACTTCTATTGTATTACACTGAGAGATTTAGGACTATTGATGGGTATCCTGAGATGCTGTCTATAAGAAAGCAAATGTTTTTAGAAGCTATCACTGGTATTTTTGTTCACCAATCTAGAAAATGCTAATAGAAAGCACAGTTCATGGTTGCTTAAGGAAAGTAAGGTGGGAGTTTTCAGTAAAAAAGGTATGAGAAATGAAATTGAGTTTAGATGCTCATAGCAGTGAGTGGAAGTGAGCGGAAGCTGGAAGCAATGTCTTTGTTTCCCAGACCAAGAGTCCTGACCATTGGACCACAGCAGCCAACAGATAGGGTTAAGGTCCCTAATCTTGACTGCGTAGTCAAGAATGAATTCAGATGAAGAGGCACAAAATAAAGAGTAAAGGAAAAAGTTTATTGAAAGGAAAAATACATGCAGAAAGGCGCATGGGCTAGCTCAGAGAGAGAGCCCCACCTTTGGGAAGTGTCAGTTCTTCAAAAAGGTACAGTTTTCCAGGTCTTCGTGTCCCCTTGGGCCAGTCACCTTCCTTTGTACTCTCTGGTTAATTTGTCTCAGCACTCTCCCCTGGGGTGCGGACACATACCCTAGCCAAGATGAATCTCGAAGTGAAGGCTTCTGGGAGGACCAAGACTCATTATGGCCTGGAATTATCCTCTGACTTGACCTCAACTAACCTTTCTGCACATGTGTAGTGTCTCCCTTAATAGACAGGGTTTTTTGCTTTCTTTGTCCTTGCCATGATTATTCCCTTGAGGTAAGAGACAAAGACTGGCTATTTACCCTGTTTTTGTTATAGATTCCTATAGATTCCTCAGCTGGAGGCTAGCTATCTCTTATCTCAGCAAATGCAGAGACGAGGAGACTGATTGTAGATATTCAACCTGTAGCCCACGTGAAAATTGTCTGAATCCTACATGAAAATTATATTTTATTAGGGAGAAAGATTAGGTTTGATTTACAAGTGGCCATTTATAAATGAAAAAAGTGATTTAAGGGGGAAAAAAAGGAATGAGAGGTTTATGGAAATTGGATTCCAAGGAAAAAAGTCCCAAAGGGTAGTTTTTATATGATCTTTAGCAGTGTGTCATTTGACTCTTGTTAATGTTGTTGCTTCACTTTGGGGAGCATGTAATGAGGTGTTTCAAAGGGATCTGTTTCCTCTTTGTCCCCCTTCTGTGCTGGAGTCCATGGGATGTCCACTTTTTGGTCCATGTAGAGCAACAGTAACACCTCCAGAGCCATAATCCTTGGAGCCAGCCTGGTTCTCTTCCTATTTGCTGCACTTGGGAGACCTCACTGGAAGAAGGGGAAAGATTGTCAGCTCTTCGATTGCATTTGGTGTCTCAGATCCTACACAGAGCTGCCCTTAACCTGTCTTCCTGTTCAGAGCCCTCAGCTATTCCTGTTGTTACTGCTTTTACCACAACCTTCAGGGGTGTGTATAACAGGAATGTGGTTTGGATCTTCTATGATTGTAACTCAGGAAACCTGTAAGGACAGTGGACATTGAGGTCCTCTCTTGGATCCCCAGTCTTGTACGTGATGCATATATGAATCAGGCTGCATGTTCCCTCCTTGCTCATACTGTACAAAATGACCCATGCTCATCCACTGAAGCACATTTTCAGGACACGACCTGAATTGATATGTGGGGGGTATTACCTCGGAAACCATTCATAGGTGAGATGGCTGAGTAAGGCTGTTAGTTACGCAGATCAGTTCATGTGTCTCACTTGACCTTATCTTTTTAAACTCCTAGAGTTTGTTGTAACCTTTTGTAATCTGCTCTGCCCAAGTGGGCCCTGGTGGTTAACATGTATGAATCTGTAGGTCTGGGTTTCAGTCCTGCTTGCTCATTCCTTTCATGTACCATGGGGCTGTGTACATGAACCCTGTGAATCCACTACCTTTATTTTAAAAATTGAGTTAATTCATGCTCTTAGGTGTCATAGAATTTTGACTGTTTTACTGGAAATGTCAGAAGTTACTTTTTTTTTTTCCTGAACAATGTGGCAGATGCGATCGTAGTTCACCATTCAGGGATGGAATCTGTAACCCTACAGTGTAAGCACGTAATGCTATCCACTGGACCATCAAGAAATTTGTCTCAAAGGTTACTTTTGCATAAAATGTATATTTACTTCATGTCATGGTTATTGTGACATGTCCCTTTGTCTGCATTACATATTGTATATTGTTAGTTTATATTTCCTTCCCAAGAGTTTGTCTCTGACTCTAGTTAATAAGTTTTCGAATAATATTCCTTTTTTATAGCGGATTCTTTGCCTCTAAGCCATGAGGAAGTCCCCAAAGCTTGCTCTTTTACATGTATTTTGGAGCTCATGAACCGAGTAAGTTAAGGATTCTGTATAGATAGGCAATTGCTATATTGAATGACTGTTACTTAAGTAGAGAATTTTCATTTATTAATTCTTTGTGATTTAAAGATGATGGTCTTTATGTTTTACACAGTATAACTGATATGAACCACTTCTTGTTATAAAATGTCTGTATGTCTGTTTGCTTATAGATTTATAGGAGGTATTTAGAAAAGTGTTCTTTCTTTTTTAAAAAAGTTATTTTAGGGAATTCCCTGACAGTCCAGTGGACAGCATTCAGCACTTTCACTGCAGTGATCCTGGGTTTATTCCATGGTCAGGGAAGTAAGATCTCATAAGCCCTGTGATGGGGAGTGAGGGGTGGGTGGTGGAGCTGTTTTAACAGATTCTTTATTTTCACTATGCAGTGCTTGTTGAACTGTTGTCAACTGCCATTTATGTTTTACAATATTTGTTAGAATGCTTCCTTTGGATTATTTACCACTACAGGGTATTGCCTTTTTGATCCTTGCTGCTTAGTCCCTCTGAGTCCTGTCTGAGTCTTTGTGATCTCATGGAGTGTAACCTGCCAATCTCCCCGTCCATGGATTGTTAGTGTTTTGTCTCCTCAGTTATGAGACAGAAGTGTGTTTACTGCCAAGTAGAATGAGCTTTGAGGTCATGGTGGGAAAATACCTTTTCTTTTGTGACTTGACATGAGTTTGCATAAAATGAATATTTTCCTGATTGCATCTTTGAAACTTGGCTACGCTAAAATTAATTTGAATTATGTGTGATCACTTTTTTTTGTTAACGAGTTCTATTTCTTTGTAAATGTTCCTTATGTTTCTAAGTTCATCATCGGGAAGATTCTTAATTCTGTTCAGAATGGGTATGAGTTTTGGTATAATATGTGTTCAATATGAAAGAATTTATTTATGAATTGTAATTAATAGGATACCTATGGTTTTTATCTTGTAGATGTGTCTCATATACATATGACCAAGAAATTACAAGCAAAAGGAAACAGTGGAAAAGGAGAAATTCTGCAAAGAGTGATGTTTAGAAGAACTGAAACCCATGAAACCAAAGATTTTTTCCTCGGGAAGATAGAGGAAACTGTGCATGGTTTTGAGAGTCTGTGGACAGATGATGAAAGAAGTGACAACGAAATATCTATATCCCATAACAAAAATCTCACTGATGGAAAAGATCATCAGAGTAGAAATGATGCAGGAGATAAGCCTGTTGAAAGACTCGGATCAAGCTTTCATGAAGAATTGCAGATGCTTCAGTCTGAAGGGACGATTTTTGAGTGTAATCAAGTTGTGACAAATATTAACAGTAGCCCCTCAGGTTTGCCACCTCAGAGAACTCATAGTGTCCGCAAAGGCATTTGTCACAAACATGAGAGTACTGTTATGCATCCCTCAGAACAGGCCCCAGACCAGGAAGGACACAAGAAAAAATCTTACAAAACTCGTGAGTGTAGCATAACCTTTCTTCAGCACTCAGAACTCACTAGACATCAAAGAATCCTTACAGGAAGAAAACCATATAAAGCTGACATACATGGCAAGGCCTTTAATGATAATGAGAGCCTTGCAGTTCATCGGAGAAATCATACTGGAGAGAAACCGTATAAATGTGATGTATGTAGCCACAGCTTTAAACACAACACAGCCCTTCAAATTCATCTGAGAGTACATACTGGAGAGAGACCATATAAATGTGATGTATGTGGCCACTCCTTTAAGCACAAGACACACCTTCAAAATCATGGGAGAACTCATACTGGAGAGAAGCCATATACATGTGATGTGTGTGGAAAGGCCTTTACTCGAAAAGAAAGCTGTGCGCTTCATCAGATCCTTCATACTGGAGAGAAACCATATAATTGTGATGTATGTGGCCATGGCTATACTCGAAAGTCACAACTTAGAATTCATCGGAGAGTTCATACTGGAGAGAAGCCATATACATGTGATGTGTGTGGAAAGGCCTTTTCTCGCAAGGAAGGATGTGCACTTCATCGGATCCTTCATACTGGAGAGAAACCATTTAAGTGTGATGTCTGTGGCCGCGGCTATATTCGAAAGTCACAACTTGAAATTCATCAGAGGGTTCATACTGGAGAGAAGCCATATAAATGTGATGTCTGTGGAAAGGCTTTTACTCGCAAAGAAAGCCATGCACTTCATCAGATCCTTCATACTGGAGAAAAACCATATAAATGTGATCTGTGTGGACAGGCCTTTACTCGCAAAGAAAGCCATGCACTTCATAAGATCCTTCATACTGGAGAGAAACCATATAAATGTGATGTATGTGGCCGTGGCTATACTCGAAGCACACAACTTGCAATTCATTGGAGACTTCATACTGGAGAGAAACCATATCAATGTGATGTGTGTGGCCATGGCTATCCTCGAAAGTCACAACTTGTAATTCATCAGAGAATTCATACTGGAGAGAATCCTTATAAATGTGATGTATGTGGCTGTGGCTTTACTGGAAAGAGACAACTTAGAATTCATCGGAGAATTCATACTGAAGCGAAATCTTACAAATGTAACAGTTGTGGCAAACGTTTTTTTGCACTGTTTTCCTTAAATAAACATCAAACAATTCAAACAGGTGAGAAAGCATGTAAATGTAATTTGTGTGGCAAAATGTTCAGTTCCAGGTGTTATTTAGCAGTTCATCAGAGAACTCATACTGGAGAAAAACCATATAAATGTGAGGTGTGTGGAAAGGCCTTTACTCGCAAACAAAGCCGTTCACTTCATCAGATTCTTCATACTGGAGAGAAACCATATAAATGTGATGTGTGTGGCCATGGATATACTCGAAAGTCACGACTTGTAATTCATCACAGAGTTCATACTGGAGAGAACCCTTATAAATGTGATGTATGTGGCTGTGACTTGACTGGGAAGAGACAACTTAGAACTCATCGGAGAATTCATACTGAAGTGAAATCTTACAAATGTAACAGCTGTGGCAAAAGATTTTTTGCACTGTCATCCTTAAGTAAACATCAGGCAGTTCCAACAGATGAGAAAGCATGTAAATGTAATTTGTGTGGCAAAATGTTCAGTTCTAGGTGTTACTTAGCAGTTCATCAGAGAACTCATACTGGAGAGAAACCATATAAATGTGATTTATGTGGCCATGGCTATCCTCGAAAGTCACAACTTGTAATTCATCAGAGAATACATACTGGAGAGAATCCTTATAAATGTGATGTTTGTGGCTGTGGTTTTACTGGAAAGAGACAACTTAGAACTCATCGGAGAATTCATACTGAAGTGAAATCTTACAAGTGTAACAACTGTGGCAAACGTTTTTTTGCACTGTCATCCTTAAGTAAACATCAGGCAGTTCAAATAGATGAGAAAGCATGTAAATGTAATTTGTGTGGCAAAATGTTCAGTTCCAGGTGTTACTTAGCAGTTCATCAGAGAATTCATATTGGAGAGAAACCATATAAATGTATTGTGTGTGGCTGTGGCTATACTCGAAAGTCACAACTTGGAATTCATCAGAAAGTTCATACCGGAGAGAAGCCATATAAATGTGATGTATGTGGCTGTGAATTTACTGGAAAGAAACAACTTAGAACTCATCGGAGAATTCATACTGAGGTGAAATCTTACAAGTGTAACAGCTGTGGCAAACTTTTTTTTGCACTGTCATCATTAAATAAACATCAGGCAGTTCAGTCAGATGAGACAGCATGTAAATGTAATTTGTGTGGCAAAATGTTCAGTTCCAGGTGTTGTTTAGCAGTTCATCAAAGAAGTCATACTGGAGAGAAACCATATAAATGTGATGTGTGTGGAAAGGCCTTTACTCGAAAAGAAAGCCATGCACTTCATCAGATCCTTCATACTGGAGAGAAACCATATAAATGTGATGTATGTGGCCGTGGCTATACTCGAAAATCACAACTTGAAATTCATCAGAGAGTTCATACTGGAGAGAAACCATATAAATGTGATGTGTGTGGAAAGGCCTTTACTCGCAAAGAAAGCCATGCGCTTCATCAGATCCTTCATACTGGAGAGAAACCATTTAAATGTGATGTATGTGGCCGTGGTTATATTCGAAAGTCAAAGCTTGGAATTCATCAGAGAATTCATACTGGAGAGAATTCATATAAATGTGATGTATGTGGCCGTGGCTTTACCGGAAACAGACAACTTGGAATTCATCGGAGAATTCATACTGAAGTGAAACCTTTCAAATGTAACAGCTGTGACAAACGTTTTTTTACTCGGGCGTCCTTAAAAATACATGAAGTAGTTCATACAGATGAAAAAGCACGTAAATGTACTTTATGTGGCAAAGTCTTCAGTTCCAGGTGTTACCTTACAGTTCATCAGAGAACTCATACTGGAGAGAAACCATATAAATGTGATGTGTGTGGGCAGGCATTTACTCGCAAAGAAAGCCATGCAGTTCATCAGATCCTCCATACTGGAGAGAAACCGTATAAATGTGATGTATGTGGCCGTGGATATACTCGAAGCACACAACTTGCAGTTCATCAGAGAGTTCATACTGGAGAGAAACCATATAAATGTGATGTATGTGGCAAGGCCTTTAGAGTAAATGGCAGCCTTACATCTCATCGGAAAATTCATTGCCGAGAGAAACCATATAAATGTGATGTATGTGGCAAGGCTTTTAGTGTAAACGGAAGCCTTAGAACTCATCAGAAAATTCATACTGGAGAGAAACCATATAAATGCGATGTATGTGGCAAGGCCTTTAGAGTAAACGGAACCCTTACATCGCATCAGAAAATTCATACTGGAGAGAAACCGTATAAATGTGATGTATGTGGTAAGGCCTTTACTATAAATGGAAGCCTTACAACTCATCGGAAAATTCATACTGGAGAGAAACCATATAAATGTGATGTATGTGGCAAGGCCTTTAGTTTAAATGGAAGCCTCACATATCATCAGAAAATTCATTCCAACGAGAAACCATACAAATGTGATGTATGTGGCAAGGCCTTTAGAGTAAAAGGAAGCCTTACATCTCATCAGAAAATTCATACTGGATAGAAGGCATATAAATGTGATGCATGTGGCAAGGTCTTTAGTTTCAAATCAACCCTTGCATTTCATCAAAGAATTTATACTGCAGAGAAACGTTACAAATTAACAATGGTGACAGAGCTTTTAGTGGACAGTCATCCTTATCTCTCCATCAGGCAGTTCATGCAGGAGAGAAAGTATAGAAATATATCTTATGTGGCAGAGTCTTCAATTCCAGCTGTTACTTTGCAGTTCATTGGAGAACTCATATTTGAGAGAAACCATATAAATGTTATGTATGTGGCAAGGCCTTTAGTCAAACTGCAAACCTTGCAATTCATCAGAGTATTCATACTATAGAGAAAGCATATGAATGTGTTGTCTGGCAAGGCCTTTAGTCATATTGGTAAGCTTGCAGTTTATCCAGAATTCATACTGGAGAGAAACCGTATAAATGTGTTGTGTGTGGCTGATGCTTTACTTGATGTGCACAACTTGGAATTCATCAGAGAATTCATACTGGAGAGAAAACACATAAATGTGATCTCAGTGTCAAGGCTTGTAATCTAAATGTAAACCTTACAGTTCATCAGAGAATTCATGTTGGAGAGAAACCTTACAATTGAAACAATGGTGACAAAAGTTTTAGTGCACAGCCAGTCTTAACTCACCATCAGGCAGTTCATACAGGAAAGAACGCATAGAAACGTGATGTATGTGACCAATGGTTTACTTGAAATGACCATCATAAGAAGCATCAGATAATTCATAGTGGAGAAAACTGTTAAAAATGGGACAATTGTGAGAAGCATTTTAGTGCAACTGTAATGAATATGGCAAAGCCCCTAATCTGAGTTCAGGCCTTATAATTCATCAGAATTCATACTGTATAGAAAGCATCAAAATGAATATGGCAAAGTTTGTAATTCACTTTCAGCTGTAACTGACCATTTGGCAGTTCATACAGGAGAGAAACCACATAAATGGGATTTTTACAATGAAGCCTGCAGTCACACGGAATGACTTTGCAGATCATCTGAGAGTCAGTGCAGTGAAAACTTCTAAATGTAGTGAATGAAGAAAGTATATGAAGTTTTGGGCCTTCAGAAAAGTCTGACTGGAGGAAAACTGCATGAATGTGGTAGATATGGTAAAGCTTTGAATCTATATTCAGACCTAACTGATCCTCAGGTAATTAATGTGAATTGAAATCTTACCCACATAGTGCATGTGGTAAGTCTTTTGGAAGGTGTTCATTTTTTTACAAAACATGAGAAAATACCTACTGGCAAGTATCCATACATTCAGAGCACAGTCAGTCCCTCCAGTGGAGGAAATCATAATGTCTGTGGCCAGGATTTCAATAACAGGCAGATCATTCCTTTCATCAGGAAAATTCATTATTCCTTCAGGTGCCATTCAGGCCTAAAGACATCAGGTGACACAAACTTGAGAGACCTTCCAAATGTTATCAGTGTGGCCAGGGTTTTTGTTTACACCTTAAGCTTCTTGAGAATATTCACACTAGATAAAAACTGTATCATTGTAATAATAAATGTGTCAGGGTTTTTAGGCAACAATCTGAAGTCAGGCTTCAGTAAAGAAGTCATTTTGGAGAGAAAGCTTACAAGTGACATGAGTATGTAAACCTTAACTCAGGATCACAACTCACCATCCATCAGATCATCCATACTAGAGAGAACCTTACCAGTGTAGAATATGTGGCAAGGCTTTTAGGTACTCCCTGTTATCTCAGTGTTCACCAAATACTTTATACTTAGAAATGCAAATATTATGGCAGTTGTGACAATTACTGCTCACTCTTTAGGTATCTAAGGACATATATGCTGGAGATAAACCACACTAATACAATGTTTGTGGAAAGCTATTGTGAAGAAACTTGAGTCAAAAGAACCAGAAAGTATGCGTGTATCTGTTTCATCATTGATTGCTGCCATTTCTGTTGTACCGTTGTTTTCTGCAGAATGTACCATAAGTCTTGTGCTCTAATAAAATTTGTATAATTTTTCCCATAACCCTGAATGGATCATGTTTCTTCCAACAACAGAGTTTTCGCCACCTCAGTACTTCATAACAGAAACTAGCAACACACCAAAGTCTCTCAAGGTTGAAAGAATGTAGAATTTCTTTTCATGATGAAATCAAGCAATAGATAATTTTGGGATTATATGCTAATAATTTGCACTTGAGTTATTCTTTCCACACTCTGTACATAACGGTGCAGTTATATTTCCTGAGTCCTCTTGTGCCGAAATGAAACTAATAGCATGTGCCTAATTTACATGAAGTGAAAATAGGAATAATAACTGTGCAAAAATTAGGAAATAAAAAACTTTGGAAATAAGGTTAAAAGTGATAGCTCTTTTTGAGCTGGGAGCATTCTGAAATAAATTATTTTTTATTATTCACTTGTTATTGGTCATATAGTTGTGGCTCACGGGATATCTACAAAGCATGTAGGAATTTCCCAGACCAGGGATCTGTCCCATGTCTCCTCCTTGGCAGGCGGATTCCTTACCACTGAGCACCAGGGAAGACCCGGAAATAGTTTACAATCCACACTATATGATGGGAATTTTTATTGTTTGATAAACTAGAAATTTCCTGTATTTAGTTCCCAACATATTGGTTCTTATTACTTTGCAGTCACTGAAAGTAGGTGGAACCACACCCAAAGTTTGGTTTGAATATTGAGACAGATGAATCCATATGTTGAAGTCTTACGAGAATGTTAACTGCTGAAGCTTTCTAGTTGAATCAAGGTACACTTCCAAGCTGTTCCGTTTAGTTGCTCAGACGTGTCCGACACTTTGCGACCCCATGGACTGCAGCATGCCAGGCTTCCCTGTCCATCACCAACTCTTGGAGCTTGTCAAACTCATGGCCATCAAGTCGGTGGTGCCATCCAACCATCTCATCCTCTGACATCCCCTCCTCCTCCTGCCTTCAATTGTTCCCAGCGTCAGAGTCTCTTCAAATGAGTCCGTTCTCATCAGGTGGCCACAGTATTGGACTTTCAGAATCAGCATCAATCCTTCCAATGAATATTTAGGTCTGGTTTTCTTTAGGATGGACTCGTTGGATCTCCTTGCATTCCAAGGGACTCTCTCGAGTTTTCTTCAACACCACAGTTCAAAGCATCATTCTTGGGCGCTCAGTGTTCTTTATAGTCCAAATCTCACATCCATAGATGACTACTGGAAAAACCTAGCTTTGACTAGGTGGATCTTTGTTGGCAAAGTAACATCTCTGCTTTTTAATAATGCTGTTTAAGTTGGTCATAACTTTTCTTCCAGGAAGCAAGCATCTGTTAATTTCATGGCTGCAGTCACCATCTGCAGTGATTTTGGAGACGAGGAATATAAAGTTTGTCACTGTTTGCAATGTTTCCCCACCTGTTTGCGCTGAAGTGATGGGACCAGATGCCATGATCTTAGTTTTCTCAACGTTGAGTTTAAGCCAACTTTTTCATTCCTCTTTCACTTTTCATCAAAAGCCTCTTTAGTTCTTTGCTTTCTGACATAAGGCTTCTATCATCTGCATACCTGAGATTATTGACATTTCTCCTGGCAATTGGAGGAGGCAATGGCAACGCGCTCCAGTACTCTTGCCTGGAAAATACCATGAATGGAGGAGCCTGTTAAGCTGCAGTCTATGGGGTCTCGAAGAGTTGGACACGACTGAGTGACTTCACTTTCACTTTTCACTTTCATGCATTGGAGAAGGAATGGCTACCCATTACAGTGTTCTTGCCTGGAGAATCCCAGGGACGGGGGCGGGGCCTGGTGGGCTGCCGTCTGTGGGGTCACACAGTCGTACACGACTGAAGTGACTCACCTGCAGCAGCAGCTCCCGGCAATCTTGATTCCAGCTTGTGCTTCATCCACCCCAGGATTTCTCATGATGTAGTCTTCATATAAGTTAAGTAAGCAGGGTGACAATATACAGTCTTCACATACTCCTTTCCCTATTTGAAACCAGTCTGGTGTTCCATGTCCAGTTCTAACTGTTGCTTCCTGGCCTGCATACAGATTTCTCAAGAGGCAGGTCAGGTGGTCTGGTATTCCCATATCTTTCAGAATTTTCCACAGTATTGTGATCCACGCAATCAAAGGCTTTGGCATAGTCAATAAAGCAGAAGTAAATATTTTTCTGGAACTCTCTTGCTTTTACAATGATCCAACAGTTCAGTTCAATCGCTCAGTTGTGTCCGACTCCTTGTGACCCCATGAACTGCAGAACGCAAGGCCTCCCTTTACATCACCGACTCCCGGAGTTTACCCAAACTCATGTCTATGAGTCGGTAATGCCATCCAACCATCTCATCCTTTGTCATCCCCTTCTCCTGCCCTCAATCTTTCCCAGCATCAGGGTCTTTTCAAATGAGTCAGCTCTTCGCATCAGGTGGCCAGAGTATTGGGAGTTTCAGCTTCAACATCAATCCTTCCAATGAACACCCAGGACTGAACTCGCAGTCCAAGGGACTGTGAAGATTCTCTATCACCACAATCTAAAAGCAATTCTTTGGTCAACTTTGTTTATGGACCGACTCTCACATCTCTACCTGCTACTGGAAAAACAATAGCTTTGACATTAGGGACCTTCGTTTGCAAAGTGATGCCTTTGCTTTAAAATACACTGTCTACTTTTATGATAACCTTTCCTCTCAAGGAGCAGGCCGTCTTTTCATTTCCTGACTGCAGCCACCTTCAGCAGTGAGGCCCCGGCCACTTCACCCTCCCATTGTCCCTATGCAGGCCTGACTTCTCTCAGTCACTCGCCCCTGACCACTGGGCTCCGCTCGGGCCCCGCCTCCAAGAAGCTCCGTCTTTTCACTGCGCGTGCACACAGCGTCACACATCCGGAAGCAGAGAGCGGCGAGCGGAGGTCTCAACGCAAAGTGAATTTCTTTCTTGTCAAATTTTCTTCTGATAGTTAGCTTTCCTCTGTAATGTGAGTTG